TACACAAGGAAAATAAATTAGAAAGGTGGGAGAACAGGATTTTGGAAACTAGTTATCACTGCTGAAATCCCAGGGAAAAATGTTTGAAGGAAATGGTGTCAAAGATGATGGCCAATTTTTTTGGACAGAAAACCTGGATGCATGGTGAAGACACAAAGGAAGGTCAGTTACTTTTCAGAGATGTAATGACGATGAGTTAAATTAGTTTCTTTGGCATAGTGTTCTGTCGATAATTATTATCAATAACTAGAAAATGTGTTATTTTTGCATTCAGTGGAAAAACATCATAACACATATCTACATTCAATTTCATACATGTGTATACGATGAATGTTGCTGGATATCATTTATTTCAAGAGGACTAATTTATCCTCAAACCGAATAAAATTAGAAACAGAATTTTAACTTCCTTCAAAAAAGAATATTAAGAACAACAGATAAATCATTCATCAAGCAGTCAAGTCAAAACAGAACTTTTGTTTGTTTAGCTGATTTACCTAAATGAAAACAAAATCATTTTTTGTCTATAAAACTATGTCCTCATCACAGTCCTTTAATATGTAATAAGTATTTTGGAATTTAATGTCTTTTATTTAGAAATTTCTTGCAAGGTACCAGAAATTAGAAATGGATACGCTCTATCTCAGAAGGAAATTTATAAGGAGAATGCACGATTACAATATAATTGTTACCAGGGTTTTGAATACAGTGAAAGAGGAGATGCTGTATGTACTGAATTTGGATGGAGACCAGATCCTTCATGTGAAGGTGATGTTATGTCTATTCTCTTTTTTAATCAATGTTATTATTATAATTACTATACATTAATTATATTTAGTTTAATTTTAATTAAGCAATTTATTTTTTATCAAAAATAGAGAACTAAGGGCCGGCCCCGTGGCTCACTCAGAAGAGTGCAGCGCTGGTAGTGCTGAGGTCGTGGGTTCAGATCCTATAAAGGGATGGCTGGTGCACTCACTGGCTGAGCGTGATGCAGACCACATCGTGCCCAGGGTTGCAATTCCCTTACCAGTCAAAAAAAAAAAAAA